TTGCTTGCATACAGATCTCGGTAAGCAGCGGGTACTTTTCCATTACATATGCCCAGTATGCCACCCTTTTGTTCTTTTTCGCAACCCCCGCCCCGTCCGTGCGAAAAAAAGGGGGCGCTAGCTATGACATCTTCAAAACACCACACGATCAAAAAGAAATCTCACGAGAGTTGACGTCGGTGGGTCGGTCGGCCGGCTGTTGGGGCACGTGGGTGCTGTAACTGGGTGCAGCAGGCTCCTCCTGCTCCTTTCTTTTGAGAGGAGCTCCCTCCTGCGTAGAGTAGGTGGGTAGGGTAGGTGGGTAGGGTAGGTGGGTAGGGTAGGTAGGTAGAGTAGAGTACCTACGTAGGGAGGTACCTAGGTAGGTGGATGGGTGGATACTCTACTGGATCTGTTCGCTGGCAGATGGAGAATGGAGCTTTAGGCGTTAGGTAGGCATTAGGCTGTCCAGGAGCAGACGTAGACTGTAGACGTAGACTTGGTCATCACATGTCCCTCTCATTCTCACCGGTGAAATAGCTATCTAGCTAGCTGCGTAGGTGTTGTATCTCCATGCTACGTATTTACAGAGGTTCTACAAGGCTTTCTCTCGGAGTATCTAGCATAGCTCTGTCTTAGACGAAGGCTTAACCCTGACCCTGACCGACCCTGAACATCTGGGGGCCCCACTTAATTCACTTGTTAACGCGCTTTCGACACTTTCTGCTACGGTCTGCCTAACCTCTTGATCCGGGCTCGGCTACATCTAGTACGTTTGGGGAGAAACGCGGAGGCGAACAGTACTCTGCCCAGTGCCAGTGCCAGTGCCAGTGTCAGGTCTGGTTCATTTGCAATTGCTCATGCTCAGCTGGATCCATTCGGGTCAAGACGCCGGTATGGTGGAATTTATAATTTAATCCCGTTTTATTTATTTGAATTTATAGGTACTCCCCTTCCAACCGCCGCTCCCCTCCCTCGCTCGGTAAATATATTTTTGGCGGAGAGAGAGAGAGTACAAAGTGCGGTTGGTTAGGTAATCGTGCTGGGGGGGGGGGGGTGTGCATTGCGCAATTCGCGGTCGTGGTACGTCGTGGTCGTGGTCGTTTCAATTGATGGTTTGGGGTTTTGGATGTGCCGGCCGGTCTGTTCAGTAGAGTTCGGTGGTGGGGAAGGGACTAGAGAGCGGTGAGGGTTTAGAGTAGGAGTAGTAGGGTTTGATATTTACAGTTGCAGAAGAACAGATCTCCCCTCCGGTAGATTGGTTGCTTTGATTCGACGCAGGTGAATTGATCCAATTGTGTCTGAAGCGCGCGCGCACCGGTACCTCTCTCTCTCTGCAGGTGGTGGAAAAAATAAAAAAATAAAGATTAATAAATAAAAAAAACCGTTGATTTAGCCTCACGCTCATCCTCATCTCTACTCTAGTAGCAACGCATCTGCCATCTACTTTACATCTGCGGTGGCTGCTAGCTGCGCATCGCAATTGGAATTAATTAATTGACTATTATTTTTTTCTTAATTCCGTTTCTATGCGAAGTCTAGACCTCTGGCTAGCTTTTTGGCCGGTATACATAAGAAGAAATCTAAAAAGTAAAAAAGTACATAAGAGGTAAAAGTAAAATAAAAAAACCCATCAGGGTCCAGCTGCCATCCACCAGCCAGCCGCCGGTCCGGGCTAGCTAGCTAGCTGCATGCAGGGCAGGGCAGACAGGGCACTGGCGGGGGGAAAAGAAAGAAAAGAAGTGACAGGCATGGTAGGCATCGCGAAGCGCAAAGACTTACTGGAGTCGGCGAGATGAGGAGTGTGGCGGGCGGGGGGGCAATAGCGAAACGAAACGGGAGGGAGGGGCGAGTGGAGAAAGGGACCAGATCTGATCTAGGCTAGTGGTAATATGGGCTGGGAAAAGGAAATATGTATGGGAAATAGAAATTATAATAGGTATGGAACCGCGGGAGTGAGTGATGGAAGGAGAGAGGAGGAAAAGAAAAGAAGAAAAAAAAAGTTGTCGGGAGTGTCATTGATAGGGACGGCGTTGGTACTCTACTTGATTGATACTGACTGATAGCTACAAGTGATAGGTTGTGGTGATAGAGGAGGCCCGGCGCCCGGTCACGGGTTATGTAAATGTTACTTACTCGATGATAATGATACCTTTGTCTAAGCATCTTATCTCGTGGGATATCGATTCAATCTCTCCTGAGATTCTCTACTCTACTAAGACTATAATTAACTACATGTGGTCAACCAGTCCACCACCTGTCTGTCAGTCGAAACCAGGTCAAACCAGCCAGTCTCCAATCCTATTCGATATACATACCAGAAACAGCAACAATAACCCTCCTCCACACTGTCAGATTCAAAACCCAACGTAACGCCCACAGGGCAGGTAGGTGTGTCTCGAACACACAACGGCTTTTCCGCGGTCTGCTTTTACGAATTGATATGTATCTTCCCCGGTTTTCTGAGGGGGGGCAAAAGCAATTCCCCCACGAGCACCACGCGCAAGCCCCAAGCCAAGGGACGTAGAGTACTCTAGATATGAAGGACGGGGGGATGCGGCTGTGGGATTCACAAAAGTGAGATCGGAGATCGGGACCACAGGCACATACTCTCTCACTCTCGCTCAGCTGGAGATGATGTCTTGGAGGTACCCCCATGGGGCCATGGCCACCGTCTATTCTTCTACATGTTTACATAGGCACTCTTACCAAGATGGATTTTATCGCGCCTGTAGCGTTGCGTTGCGTCGCCTCACCTGCGTTGCGGGGGGGGTCGACGGTCGACGGTCGATCTGGGGGCTGACTGACTAGGGTGCAAGTGGGATCTCTTGTCAGTGCTTGTCCTTGCTTGTCCCGCTTTCTTGATATATGCGGCTGCCTGAGATGTGCTCCTCTACTTTTTTTCCCTTCCACTTGAAGTTCTGCAGGTAGCAGAGCCGCAGTGAGGGGAAGTTCAAGTAGAGTATGGGTATGGGCACTTCATGTATCGTATCGTATTGTTGTTTATCCTTTCCGGGTTCTGGGTTCTTGCTTCAATTGCAGAGGGAGGCAAGAATAGATGCAGGCAAGCAGCTAGAGGAAGAGAAAAGAAAAGAAAAAAAGAGTGCTGCTCTGCAATTGAGCTCTGAACTGAACTGAACTGAGCGCACTGACTTTCTTCTCACTCTACCTACTCTATTCGATATTTCTAAAATGACATAGAGCCTGTAGAGGTAGGTAGGTAGTCAGTCGTGTGCACTACTTCCTTCCCAAGCAGACGTTCAGTCCAATTCAAACTCTCTCTCTTGCAAAAAAAAAGAAAAATTTTCCTCCTTTCCGGCCTCTACTCTTTTCTGCTCTTTTCTCCTACCGCATTTTAATTCTACGCGGGGGGGCATATATGCGAGCCCCACACTACTCTACACCGGCCAATTTACAGCGTGAGGTAAAATTATTGTAGAAGTATGGGAAGAGTCCTATTGGCTTGCCCATCCATAGAAACCCTGTTTTTAGACCCCTGTTTCTACAATAATTTTCCCTCTCGCTGTACCGGGTGTTCACCATTAATCTGAAGAACTCTGCTTCATTGGTTGAAAATGCAGGGATTTTATAGAGAGCAACCAATTACCATCAATCACACCGGCCTTAGTGCACCAAATTTGTATGGGGGAAAAAAGTCTGAAGAACTTTCATATATCTCTACTCAAAAATCTAAATATTTTGCTAAAAATACAAAAAAATAACTGCAGAATAGCGCTGGCTCCCAGCTTCCCCTAGATAATATTTTGAGCTCATAAACCCTTGTGGGGAGTGTTTTCTGATGAAGTTGGGTGCAAATGACAGTCAAATTGCGGTCTTGGAGGTTGCATTGCAAAATATGGGGGCAGCCTATTCAAGTACTTTTTCTGGCGCCAAGTATCATTTTCTGCAGCTTCAACCAATCATACGCCAAAAAAAAGGTTCTTCAGACAAACCCATAACCCCCGGTACATACAGGGCCAGGGGGGTCGGGGTGGACGAGACAGAGGGTGGTGGTTGCGGCGGCATCGTGAAATTTTTTTTTTTTCGGTTTGGTTATTTTCCAGCGGGTAGGTTAGTTTTAGAGTAATTTTGGTTAGTCTCTTTGGAGAAGAGGAAAGGGTGGAGTTGCTTGATTCGGGAGGAGGGGGCGGACGTGATGGTAGGTGCGGTGAGGCGGGAGGTTCGTGGTCTGGAATTGGAATTAGAGGGGTGTGAGTGGCCGGTGGATGTATGGGTTGGGGTTGGGGTTAGGTTAGTTTGAAGCTGGCGGACTTCACGATGTTTCTGGCCGGTGGTGGTGGTGGTGGTGGTGGAGGTGCTGGTGAAGAGAGGAGAGCTGCTGCTTAGCTCCCCGGATATAGCGTTTGATGTATGTATGTAGGTATGGCTCAGAGGAAGGAGATACAGTATCGACCTTGATTCATGAATTCAACCCAAACCCCGCTGCTGGTGGAGGTTTTTTTTTTTTTTTTTTTTTTTTGCGGTATCATATTTTGTGTTGCGGAACACATCCTTTATTTTGCTACCACGCTCTAGCTCTCCGGCCCTATGTTACTGGTTCGCCGGCCGTCACCGTAGGTGCTAGGTGCTACTACTACTACATGTAACTACTACTACTCAGGCAGTGTTTTCAAAACCCACCTCGAGGGAACACTGCAGGGGGCCGGGCCCGTAGGGTAATCGATCACTCACTCTAAAGCGACATAGGCGGGGAGATACGGAGCCGGGGTTTTTGAAGGTGATATATCATATTTTTTTTGGACCCGTTTCAACCCTTCTGGCTGGCAGGACGAAACAAATCGGGGGTCCTGGTTGGTTTGGTTTGGATGGCTATGGGGTTTGTATGTAGGTACATGTATGTATGGACGGTTGGTTTGGTAGAGTATGTAGGATTTGTACTTGTTAGAGAGAGAGAGATACATATGGGCCGCACACCTTGCTTGACGTTCTGCGGTACGATGCGATCTCATCGATCAGGATGGACGTGCGGGCGGGCAGCTATCTACATGTAGCTACATTACATGCAGCAGGAGGAGGAGGAGGAGGAGGAGGATGGAGGAGGAGGATGGAGGAGGAGGAGAAAGAAGGAAGGAGCGGAGATCTGGAGTAGGTACGTGGGTAGGGAGATCTAGAAGGAAGGAAGGAAGGAGGGAAGAAAGAGAGCGGCTGTCGCCTCGTTCCGTGATGCGCTATCACACAGACAGATCAAGGTCGGAGATGTGAGTGAGTGTGTTCAAACATACCGCAACAGATCTAGAAACAAAGCAAAAGAGAAATTCACAACCAATTTCTCTGTACTCACTCACTCTCACACACTCTCACTCGTATGTACCCGCACGCGCGCGCGCCGGCCCCCCAGCTCCCTCCCCTTCGGATCCCCTTCGCCTAGAATTCTCATCTACCCCCAACAAAAAAAAGATAGGTATGTATTCCCATATCAAAGCCCCCAAACCAAATCTCCCTAATCTTAACAGCTTCCGGCCCGTCTACTGTATCTCGCAACCACAACCGCAACCCGCAACCGCAACCCGCAACCGCAGCGCCCCCCCCTTCCCTTCCCTTCATTCCTTGTTTTGGTTTTGGCTGATGTGGTGGTGGTTGCTTGTCCTGCTCTGGTCTGGTCTGGTCTGGTCTGCTCTGCTCTGGTCTGTGCAATAATTAAACAAGCTTGGCCGAACAGAGACTCAGGCAGGCAGGATGTGGAATTCGAATTAAACAAGCTGCCGAGTTGATAGTAGAGTAAGCGCTTCACCGCCAGTTACTGCATGTAGAGAGAGATGCTTTGGTCGAGGGTGATACTTTGGAGATCCTGAAGGAGAGAGAGAGGGTTTGCGACGGCTTCTACCGGCTGTTCGGGTCTGGTTGTCCGTACGTAGACGTCGGTTTTCCATCCATCTTCCAGAGCGCGGTGCAAGCATGTAAGAAGACCAAGACAGCAATTCAAGCAGGCCCCTAGAGAGTGTGAGTGAGAGATCCCTCCTAGTTACTTAGAGCAGGTAGCCTGTAGAGTGAATGCCAACCCTGCTCATTCGATACTCGCCCACCCACACACCCAGCCAGACACACATCCACAGTGCCTACACCCACATCCTGACATCCACACCCATCATTCTAGTGGGCAATCCCTCCCCGTACATACACACACCCACATACAATCAGTCAATCAATCAAGCAGTCAATACATATCATATACCCTACCCACCACCACCACAACTTATCCCCAGACAAAGACAGACAGGACAGACACAGACAGTCTACACTAGTCCAGGTAGGTAGTCGGTCAGTCAAGTTCACTCTCTCCCCCCCCCCCCCCCCCCGTTCTCGCTTTCTCTGTCTTTCTTATTCAGCCATCCGTCCACCAACCCAACCAACCAAACCCACAATCTTTAACAATAAGCCCAGTGACTGGCCCAGCGTCTGGCTCTGTCGGTGAAGGAAAGTAAGGTAGTTGTGCTCGCTCTAGAAGAGTTTAAACACACATCCACTACCACACACCACACACCATACATACCACACACACCACAGGCAACTCCGTCATATCCAACTTATCGAAACCACCACACACCACCACGTTCACAACTTATTCGCTTCCCTTTCGGCGTCCACACCCCCCCCCCCCCCTACACCTACACCTACACTTCACTACCTACATTCTAGAGTACATACTACATATAGATTATTATTATACTGGGCACTCACTCGACGTTTACGGCCACCCCTACCCTATCTGCCTGCTTACTCCCTAACGTCCAGACCTCAACCTACTACGCAGGATTGCAACTTAAACTAACGGCGGGCCAACTATATCTCACCCTCGCCCCCAAATAGCGAAACCAAACCACCCCCCCCCCAATCGCACCGTGGAGAAGGAACAACACATACATCATCATTTATCACACGCTCCTGTCTAACTCTTTTCTATATTAACAAAGAGTTAGCTAACCCTTTCCCTCCCTCACTCACCCCCCATTCTTCCAACGAAGATATCATTATTCATATATATATTCTATAACTATACTACATCACTATATACAAATAAACCCAGTCGGCATCATGGCTGTTGTACGGCGCTATTGAATTCGCGCCCCTACAATAACCTCACCCCCCTTCTTTCTTCTCTTCTTATTCTCTCCCTTCACACCCCTACATTAGCTTGCATTTTTTTGAATCTTGGATATCAGTATATATATATATAGTGTATACTATACATACATACATATATATATATATATATACCTGCGAACACTCCACTACCCCCAACTTGTTCGCACACCTACAGACACACACACACACTCACCCACAGGACTGCCGCAATGCTCGGCCGTCTCTTCTCTACCGCCAACTCCACCACTACCTCCCCCGGCGGCACCCGCCCCTCTACCGCCGCCCTCCCCGACACAGAAGAACTCCACACCCGCGCCCTTCTCTACCCGGACCTCCTCACACCCTCCTCCTCCTTCACCTCCTGCCTCAGCCTCTCGCACACCCACTCACATACCTCCAGCACACATGCAGAACCCCCGACAATCGACCTTGACGCCGCCCGCGACGTGCGCGTCATCATCGCGCAGGACGCCTCGGCCTCGGAACACAAGTGCGCTCTCTACGACTCCAAACCTTCGTCAGAACCGCCATCCTACAGTGCCGCCACCGCTGCCGACGACGCCAGCCCGCTGTCCCCCTCTATCGGCGCATCGCAGTACAACCGCTCGCGCCGGCGCCCGCCGTCAGCGCAGTACTACAGCAATGCGACATGCCTGAGCTCCTCCGGCGGCGACAGAGGCGCTGGTGGTAGTGGTGGTGGTATGGGTATTGGCGGTGGTGGCAGCGCGGAAGATGAGATGAGGGTGCTGACAGACTGCATGTTTGGGTCGGCGCCGCTGGCGTATAAAGGACCGTCGACGAAGGTGCATATTCTGCCGGATAATGTGGAGGAGAAGAAAGTGCCGCGGAGGGGATCGAGGGCGCCGTCGTTTAGTACGGCATATGCCGCGCAACAGCAGCAGCTGCAGCAGGATGTGACGACAGCAACGTCGGCGTCGACGACGTCGCAACAGCATCATTCTGCTGCACAAAGTCAGCAGAAGGAGAAGCGAAAGTCAGTGCTCATCACGAGGCTGTTTTCCGTGGTGATTCCGCCGACTCCGCCGATGACGACGTATACAGCTGCGGTGTCGAGGGATCATACTCCGACGCCGGCGAGCTCGTTGGGGTCTAGTCATGGCTTTCCGTTTCCGAAGATGACGGCGAATGGAGGGGCTGCGCCAACGACGCCAGCTGGTGCCGGAGGTGCGGGCGTAAAGTTCGTGAAGCCGCCAAAAACGTCAATGTATGCCGTCGGCGTGATCATTTCCCTCCCGCAGCCACCACCACCACCAGTACAGCAGCAATCGTATTCATGCGGGTCCGCAGGGTCCTCCATGAACCGGTGCTGCTGCCAGTCACTGCCGTTCGGCGCATTCGATGGCGGCGAGTTCTGCTGTAATACGCCGCCCTCGTTTGAAGAGGACTACCAGCCGCCGTCTATGGCCGACCGGAGCAGTGGGTTTGCAGACGACTTCCTGCTGCCGCCGTCGGGCGCCGATGATCGGATGGACCTGGTTACTAAGCACTGGGACGTCATCAATCGGGCGTTATCGGATCTGCAGCGCGTCGCGCAGGTGCGGATCTTGGAGCATCTGAACCACCAGGGCGGCGCCGGCGGGACACCCACCGCATCATGCCAGAACGGATACAAGTACCGCAAGAAGGCCGAGCTGCGCCAAGGCACGCTGATGCGAGACGATGTTGTGCGCAAGGAGGTTGAGCGGCTGCGGTGGCGGATCGTCGCAGGCATCAGGACACCCCGCGTCATTACCGGACAGGGCAAATGGGCCGTGTGGAAGGACGAGGCAAAGTGGGCCAATGCCCGGTTTGGGGGGAGAGACATGAACTTGTCAGTTGCCATCCCGTGGTTGACCGCTGCTCAGGATGCTAACAAGAGGTCTTGCAAAAACAGCTTTTTCCTCACGCTGCTGACGGCCTTTCTGGGCCACCATACCGAGTGGCTGGATGTGCTGGGCCCGGCGCAGTACCGGCTGCGGCACCAGCAGCAGCAGAAGGCTACGGCCAGCGGCGACGAGTGCGGGATTCCGACGAGGACTGTGCTGCTGGCGACGGACAAGATGGCGGCGCGGCGGCTGATCTATCTGCTGTCGGCGTTCCTGCCGTCAAAGTCATTGCCACAATGGGGTGAGGGCCTGGTCCCGCCACCGTCACGGACAGACTCGATGAACTATCTCTCGCAGTCTCCTCCAGTCTCTTCCTCTTCTGGTACAGGAAAGAAGAGCTCCCTCCGCAAGAAGGCAAAGAAGAAGCCTAGCAAGCTCAGCATGGTCACTGGTGAGGAGGACGAGACCCTCGCGTCTGCTGTGGTTGGCTGGGACATTCCGGCACCGCACGGCGTTGAGCAGCCCCCTACACCGGCACAGCTGCCACTCACACACCCTAACGCTGCCAGCGCCGCGCTCAAGAAGCCGATGCTGCCCACGGCCGCCGTCATCCCCACCAATGCGCCGGCATCAAGCCCGCAGAAGATACTCGTGCGGCCCGGGAGCAGCAGCAGCGTCGCCAGCCTGAACCTCATGAACACGCTCAAGCGCACCGGCACGGCCAACACCAGCGCCGACTCGTCCGGCAGCTTCCTCAGCTTCCTCTCCTTCTGGAGCAACGCCCGCACGGGGTCCACAGCGCCCAGCGAGACAAGCACACAGCCAGACGAGCAGCAGCCCTGCCACCACAACGCAGCTATTAAGATCTGCGGCAGCAGCGATGACTTCCCCCGCAGCGGCCTCTACCTCGACGACGAGGACCTTGCCCATCATACCCACCACCACCACAAGCACATCCACCACATCCCGCCCCCGCCTCCACTGCACGCCTACGGCCTCGTCGAGAATGAGGTCCGCATCTCCGTCGACGAGAGCGATGGCATTGTCGACGTCGACATCCCGATGCCGCCCATGCACATGCTCGACTTTGGCGCCGCAGGCACCACCTTCACTTCACCCATCAGCAGCCCGTCCAGCGGCGGCGGCTGGCCCCAGTCCCTCATGGACACGGGCCTCATGCGCTCAAACAGCATGAGCTTCTCCAGCGCCATGTTGATGCCCAGCTTCATGCCCGACCACGACGACAGCGGCCTCAATGTGGCGGGCTGGATGGACGACGAGCTCTTCCACCCGGACTTTGCCCTGCAGGCCGTCAAGCCCTACCCAGACATCGAGGAGGACATCAAGCGTGCCATGCGCGCAGAGCCCACGCCGTCCCACACTGCCGCAACCACAGGGATCACGCCCTCGTCCGAGAGCGGCGATGGAAAGTGGACCACCGTGTGCTCAGTGCTCATCGCGGACACCAAGAAGCTGCAGATCAAGCGGCTACGGCTGCGGCGGCGGCGCGCTGCAAAAGCGGGAGCTGCGGCTGCGGCAGCAACGGTCACAACGGCGGCGGGGGTGCAGGCATCGCCGCTCCCGAGTGCGCTGGGGGCGCACCGGCATCTGCATCCGGCGGTTGTGGCGCCGCAGCAGGAGGAGGAGGAGGGCGAGGAGGAGGAGGTGATGGAGGAGGAGGTGGTGTGCGATGTTGATGACGTGCTGGCGACGGCCGTGGAGAGGGTCATTGGCGCGGCGGGCCACGAGGAGGAGGAGGAGAATGTCGGCGTGCAGGTGTGCAAGTGCATGGTCCTGGGCGCGCTCGAGAATGTGGTCAAGGCCGTGGCCGTGGGCAGGGGAAGCGTCGTGGGGAATGTGTTGACGGAGGGGGTGGCCAAGTGGTTGAGTGAGGTTGAGGAGTCGGCGGCGGCGGCGGCGGCGGTTTGATTGATTGATGGGATGGTTTCCTGTTTTTGTTTTTTTTTGGTCTTTTTTTCTTTAGGACTTTTTTTTTCTGGTTCACGGTCTGGCTGGTCGGTCGGTTTTTTGGCTTTTTTTTCTTTTTCTGGGTTCCCTTCTTACGCTCTTACTACTACTTACTACTACTTGCTTGCTTACCATACTTACTACTAGCATTGCGTTCCGGATTTTCTTTTTTCCATCATAGGGGATATTGGGGGGTTCTTTCAACTTTGTGTTTTGCGTTTTTCTGCTTTCTATATCTTCTCTGTCAAACTATTATGGCGGACATTGGGCCTCTTGGTTTCTTTTGGTGGGGATTCGGATTTTGCATTTTGGAGTTCTCTTCTCTTTTTTTATTGTTCTTGGTAGTTGGAACGGGGTCGGGGGGGGGGGGGTGGCATTTTCTTTTTTTACTTTTCTGTTCTGATACTACTACGGCTGGCTGGGGATTCTTTTTTCTTTCTGCTATTACTTACTACTACTGCTACTACTATTACTACTACTACTATACTACTACTACAGGGAATTGGAACTGGGCTGGACTGGGCTGGATGGGACTGACTGATTAAAGTAACTTAGCCTACTATTACTACTTACTACTACTTACTACATCTTTGTGTGTACAACTAACTAATCATTTCCGCGCCCTCCTCTCTCTCTATCTTCTGTTCTTACTTTTTGGGGCTGGTATATAGGTCTTTTTTCTTCTTCTTTCTTTACTTGACGGGGAGGGAGGGAGGGCGGGGTTGTGTGTGTATGTCTGTATGTATGCATAGGCCGGTAGGAGTAGGAATATAGTTAGGATAGTTTTAGTTTAGTTAGTTGGGGAAAGGAGGGGGGGGGGGGGGGTGAATGAGAAGAGTTGAAAGTAAAATGGGGTGTGTTCATTCCGTGATATTGCACATTATATTGCTGCTGTCGTGGTTGTTGTTGTTGCTGTTGGCTATGATTGTGATTCTTATTTCTGGCCGGCTTTGCATATTGATATGAGACCGCTTCTGTAGGCCTGTTTGTAAACTTCTGCACATATGCAAACAATACCTACCTTGCCTTACATTGCACTACATTGCACTACCTATGTACGTACCTGCCCCTCCCCCATAGCTATGTAGAGTAGGTATAGGCACTTGCTCTATGATCATGACCGACCGGCTGCATCTTCCGCACCGCACCGCACCCTCCCCATCTAGTCCAGTCCAGTCCAGTCCAGTAATCCCCCGGAATAACCCACATCCACACCCACACCACACTAGCGACAAGAAACCTGTATGTGCCTAGCTACGGAGTGGAGTGCATTTGATTTGAGCCGGGCCCCCGGGATATCGTATCGTACATGTAGGTACATGTACATATGTCTGTCTATCGTACATACTCTTGCTGCGTGCTGTTCATCGTGCATATTCGTTTCTGGTGCATAGCTAGGTAGGGTATTTTCTAGACTCCGACTCGCAGAGTGAGCAGACTAGAGATATCTAGCTATCTATACCACCCTAGCTACCACTCTATGCATGCTATGCCCCCAACAGCATAGGTATCTATCTACCCAGGGTTAGGTAGTATTCTTCCTCTTACTAGGTATTAACCCCTAGCTTATCGCTTTCATTGCCATCATCTTATAGCTGATAGAGATAGGGTACAATAGCCATGCTATCGTATCTCCCAGACAGCTAGGTACATAGCATAGGTACCAGATAGATATGATATTCGAAATCAGCCGGCACGCCAACCAACAACTTGACCAGGTATTGGACGGAGCAAGTAGGAGCAAAGGAGGAATGATGAGTGAGAGATTTAATCCTCATCCCCCCCCCTTTACATGAAGAGTAGGTAATGGTGTAGTAGTACGTCCTACTTCTCTAAAACGGTTTGCACGTGTGCGTGTCTCCGGGTAAATTCAACCTCCCTATCCCTTTCGAACCCCTTTCTTTTCAACCCCCCCTGCTGTAACTGGTACGGATTTGAAGGCTTATCTTTCTAGGTGCGGTTCGGGGTTTGGGGTTGATGAGAGGGAGTCGTGTAAACGTTTGCCCTGGGGCAAAGGGTTATTAGGTATGTATTGAGGAAGTTGTTTCGTGCCAAGCTGTGAATATAAGTAAAACAGTAGTCAGTTGAAGGTCGGAAAAATAGTAGGCCGGTCCCGCTAACTTCTTTACTGGTATCAGCCTTACTTTTCCCTCTGGATGACGCCGTGGCGTGAATATCATTCCCAAGCGGGCATGCAAGCTTATGGATTACATATAAGTGAGGCTCTATCAACCTGTCTCACGACTTTTTATGCAGAGATAACCTGTTTTTTTCTTTCTTTCCCCAGGGCTGTATGCAAAATTATGCAGACCGCAAATGAGATGTCGCTTGCCTTATCTCGAGCCCTGTCCCCCTTCTTCGCTTCCTCCCGTTTGAAACCCTAAATAGAACGCACTTCTAGAGTACGCTTTGGACACACCCACACACGGAGCACAGCACAGTCAGCAGCGGGACTTCCCAATACGTCCTTCCGGAGGTCTGTGCACGCGTGTGGGTAAACGCGAATCACGCGGTGGCGCGCTTAGGGGGGGTGTAGATCGGAGAGGCCGGAATATGGGGGCTATCGATTCTGATTTTCACCGACGGAAGGGAGGGATGGGAGATCGTGGGGTCATTTGTGCATGAAAGGAAGCGAGGGACATGAATTGTGGTATCATTTTCCGCTTTTAATTTGTGATAGCGGGAGGGTTTCCATGGTTATGGGTTTCTGGTTCGCCTTTCGAGTGATAATTAGTGAATGAATTGGTAGCGGGCTTCAGATATGTTGACAGAAACGCTAAGAGTTGGTCTTCTTTCGTGTTGCACTGGAATCTGGAAACATACCTACTCTACCAATCAGAACGATACGGTTTGAATATCGTTGTTATTGAAATCCTTCAGGGGGGCTGTTTGCAATCTGGTCTAGACTGCCTCTCGTGAATCAACGAAACAGTGTCTTACTATAATCCTCGGGAGTTGGGATAGGGATAAATGACGGCCGTGCTTCAAGGCATCTCCCGAGTCTCGAGAATAAAACGTCTAAATACCACGTGGATTCAATGTCAAAGCTTTTTTGAGTTATGTAGTATAAAATACGGCGTATATACCTTCTTCTGGAAACGCACCAACATCTTCAAAAAAAAAAAGGGGGGGGGGGGTGACGGCAGCGTCTGGAGATCGACAATTATGGTGTGGAAGGCGTCTGTAGCGTTTCTTTTGATATGATGATATGATGTTGACGATCCTCTCTTTTATGTCTCATGTAAGCCTCCTGCGCTCCATATCGCCACATCAACCACGAGTCTTAAGATCACATTCTCGGCTGTGTTACTTAGGCGTTGTTGTGTGGTCTGGGGTAGATATGGAATGACCTTGGGTGTAAGGTGTAAAGTATCACATCCGCGGAGAAAGAGGAGTAGAGTGGCCAAGGCTTCCATAATAGGCCCACTGCAGAACGACTAATTAGGCCGTGATATCGTCTTGTAGTTCTTGGTAGGTCTGAAGACTTTTGAAGTTTTGCAGTCAGTTCAAGCCTTGGATCGGTCAATTGAGGAGTACTGTTGGCGATGATCTTATATCGATTGTGCTTTGTAGTGATAACAAGGTGTCGATAGAAAACGGCTCGGGAAATGAGATGAAGTTTGGACTAGACACCGAGGATACATTTTAACTAGACAGTCTCTGGCATCATGTAACGGTGTTCTCTAATCGACGCTAGAGGCTAGAGAAATAAAGTTTAATAGAGCTTTTAGCCGGCCCCTCAGTCGATTTCCCAAAGAATTGTCCCGCCTTTTAGTAGTTTGAGTTTTGTTAGTTTGGTATTTATAAGGACCTCTAGTCTTTTTTTTTTTTTTTGTTTAATTCATTAATTGCATGCAGCCTTTAAAGCTATGGCAATAAGGACCTCTAGTCTTTTTTTTTTTTTTTTGTTTAATTCATTAATTGCATGCAGCCTTTAAAGCTATGGCAATAAGGACCTCTAGTCAAGTATGTATGTAGTCATATTTGACGAAGGGGATATCTGTGTCATTACTAGCTATTGACAACACTACTTGAATGGATATTATTTTTACTATAATCAACTATATAGAGGGGTGGGTACATGTGTAAAGATGTTTAGTGGCATTTCTTTTCTATTGGCTTGCCGAACTACATCATGTAGTAATACGCACTAACTACTTTGGTGGGTTTAGTAGCAGTTTCAATACTCTAGTCACGGTCAACAGAATGCGCCACCAACTTGCCTAACTAAACTGATAATTCTTGGCATTGCTTGAAGGTCGTCAAATATAATCGAAGCTTGTAATAAGGGCGTATATAATATGACAAATATCGCGGAACAATATCGTTATATTAATGCGCAATTTCTAATGGACAAGTTGAGTGATATTTCATGAGTCTAATATATACATTTTTTGGAGTAACCACGTCAATGCTATTGATGCATGAAAATATAAAGTACATACACTCAAATAGCAGCTACAATGGGGTCGAGAAAGATAAGCTAGTTAAACGCTTAGAGAGTACAACTGGTTAAGGGGAATAGCAAGTACTACGTCCTGGCTTGTGCTAAACTTGAGTTGTCTCTATTTACTGGGCATCTACTTGGTACGAAACTCACACAAGACGTGAGGTAACCGTATTGTTTTGGAGACATTAAGGGATGCGAGACTAGCTTGTATATCTATATTCTCTTTGCAAAATTCTTGATTATAGGGCATTAAAGAACCATTTCCTAATGATGTTAATCATGTGATATCACTCGGACTTCCGGTTTCTTGGCGCTGCATCGATTACTCGGATTAACTCGTTCATTGCCGATATTTGTGGAACTAGTGTGCTCCATAAGGCCTTATGTTTCACGCATGTTAGCGTGAGGAAAGATCTCCATGCCGAGGATCCACAATGAGATTAACCAACTCTTCAAGTACAATAGAAAGAGGTTATTTGTTCGTGAGTTTATCAAATCATTTCTACCGCAT